CTTCTGTGAAACACTGAGATCTATTTCACAGATGTGAATAGTGTAAATAGAAGAAAATTTTTATCTAGGAAATCTGTGATGTATTTGGCCAGTAGGTTTCGAACAATCTGAGCACACATTTACACTTGTCAAGTTAGTTTATGTGAAACCGAAAAATGAGAGGACGGATAGAACAATTATGACAATAAGAGATTAAAATGAAGAAAGAGAAAGAAGCGGAGAATGTTACGATGGTGAATAGCGCCTAGCGATGGAACATAGAGTGTGAGTTTCGTCCTACTTGGATTTCATCAGCTAGATGTGCCTGTTTCTTAGTCTTTGATGTTCTTCCTTCTAACCCATCAGTCCGAAAGGCAAGGCGTTATTCATCATATTACTGAGTCATAATAACCACTACTTGGATGACTGGCACAGTTTCCATGTTATAACTTGATATAACTAATCCTTATCTTGGTAATCAAAAGGTGTTTATTAGGATAGGTGTAAAGTAAGGAAAATCTGGTTTCAATTTGCGTATGGCTATCACTTTCGCAAGTCTCAGTATGCTCACGGGACTATTTCTGCATAGAGTTTTGAAAAGTGCTAGGACATTAGTTCTGTGGCACACTTCCAAAATGAGTTTAACTATCGTTGAAGTGGTCTGTCTGTAGCATGCACTTATCAAGGTTCCATATTCCATAAGTTTTATAAGCCATTTAGGTACATACACTGACACCCTAAACTGCCTGGCTTCATTACGTTGTATGTGTCCACACAGACAGGTAATCGGATAAACACAATTAGATATTATGTAATGCTTTAAGCAGTTTTTAGGCGGGCGTTCGGTCCATAATGAAGGATCAACAGAAATGTAAGAGAAAGTTTGGTGCTGGATGGTTCTTTCAACCAGCGCAAAAATATACAACTCAAGTACCTGACGGATAGGAATATGATGTACTTTTGCGCACTTAAATGTCCATTTCTTTATAACGTAAAATGTTTCCTCTTCTTTGATATTGACTGGAGAAACGGAGAGTTGGAAATAGTTTAAAAATGTGCAAGAGTACATGACACATTCAAAGGACATATTTAAATGATTAAAACAAGTTGAAAGGAAAGAATTTGATGAAAATTGTTCACCGTATAAATTTGGTATCCCAGGGTTCCAGCAGGCCGCCATGAACTGTCAACTTGTCGAAAGTGTTCGCTTACAAGTGTGATATGAACTTTAACAGTATTTAACAACAACAGTTCCTTCAGAGAAACTTGATAAGTGGCAAATGTGAGACGATTTAAGGATACGTAATCGCAGGGAATGTTAAATATTTTAGACTGGAGAACTTTAGTGAACGGAGAATTTACGCCAAAAGCGTACATAGTTTTGTTCTGGTGCTCGTTGCATTACGATAGTCAGCAATTTTAAAAGTATCTCTCGATGATAGCTTACATTACTCATTACGAATTGGAGTTAAAATGATTCTAGAAGTAGTATACATCAGGGACTGACATCACTTGGGGAACCATTGAAAATCTGGGAGCACTGGACACGTGTTTCATCCTAGTATGGGACCCCTCAGCGGCACACACCCACGACCTGGCTAGGGATCGAACTCAGGACCTTCAGGTTCCACGGCCAACGCGTTAACTAATCAGCCAATGGGTCGGTGTCTAGTGATTCACACTTTCCAACTTCTATCAATTCACGACATAGCGTGACTATTCGCCAGTTTATGTGTGGGAAAATAGTCCATAATGGAGTGTTACTTTTGTAAGTTCTAAGTAATCCATATCACTTCGGAACTTCAGTCCCCATAGTTTTGAAGGAATAGAATTCAAGAGTTTTATTAAGTTTTTCTAACATTTTTTGAAGAGACGTAAATAATGAATTCCCTTTCATCTTTGAAGATGGATTACATTTTATTTTTATACTCACATCTAGTTATCACAACAATACCTTAGTTTGTCAATGATTATATCAGACCTACATCGCTATTCCTTCTGTTATGTGAAGCGCTGGGAATTGGAGATGATTCTTTGTTTTGATCCTGAACTGTGAAATTGGTGATTAATATCGACTAATTAATCTGTAGCCAACTTCAGTTATCATAATATGTTGGAACAAGAAGACACATAGAAATTTTCGAACTGGGAATCAAAATCAGAAATTCTCAAGCATACAGTTATAGAAAGTAAATCCAAGAGAAACTGTCTCTTTCTCATAAGCTGAAAGTAAAACAGATCAAATTAGTTAAATATGAAACTGGTGTGAATAGAAATTAGTTTGTTTGAATGTCACTAGGATATGATTTAGACAGTTTTTGTCTTTCACTATCCTTTGTTTTGCTGAAATGCGAAAATTGATAAGTTTAATATGGCGAGCGAGTGATATAATGTTTTATAATATTCATCAAATACTTCCTGAAGGTTTATGAGGCATAATAAAGTAATTATTTACACTAGAAGCGTGAAACAAAATTTTTTCCCTTAGGATATAAATTCGAACTATTCATGCATTAAATTATTCGAATAATAATTTAGAATAATAAAATAAGAAAATTTAGTTTGGGGTTTACGGGAACTGGCATCAATTGGGGGAACTATTTGAAATTTGGGAGCACTAGACAGCTGTTTCATCTTAGCTTAAGACTCCTCAGCAGTGGACACTCATGACTCCACCCGTACATGGATCAAACTCAGGACATTCAGATTGCACGATGAACGCATTAACCAATTAGTCATTGGGTCATCTAGAGTTCAATAGTCCACGGTTCTCCAACTCTGCTAGTTCCCGATGTAGTGCAACTACTCACTAAGGTCTTCAGTTGGAATCCGCTTCACTTTCAACTGGTTGGTGCCACTTATTGTCCTCACTGTTTATCCGCTTACTTCGATCTTTGTTCCATTTTTATTATTGCAGTGGCTACACCTTCATTTTGTTTTCTTGAGTCCTAAAATCATTTTCATCTGTATTACGACTGCTTTAATCAATACTGTCATCATTGAAAGTGTTGATGTCATTCTTTTCACCATCATTCCTGCTATTTATGAATATATATTAGAAAAAATTACTACTGACCGACAGTTCTACATGATCAGTCCAATTTTAACATAAAAGATCGGATATTTGCAAAATAAACAATCTCTGATGGTAAATCTCACTATGGTTTCCTATCCACACCAAACTATTCAGACCATAAAACGTAATTTACTTGACACAATGAATGGTGTGAGGGAAGAGACCATGAAACTGGATGCAACGTTTTACTCTGACTTAAATCAGTAGTGCTCGGTAGCCAGATCAAGGTGACATAAACACCGGAGAGCCGTTCGACTCGATGATGTACCCCAAGTGATTCACCTCATCATTTACACAAGAAATTAAAAGATACTAAAGCACCTCATTTACTCTATAAACATATTCACACATCAACACAGAAAATAATTTATTTTTAATACTTCCCTAAAGCGAATCTTGTTACTTATTGAACAGATAGTGGGGTAATAGTAACAGGTCTTCAGTAATCTTTTGCTCATATTTACTATTATTTATCACACAACGTATACAAAGCTACCTTGTCAAACTTTCAAAGAAGGGCGACCTAAGTCTTTGCAAGAACTGGCGTGGAATCATGCTACTGTCCAAACCAAGCAAAATATGAAACCACATCATCCTGGAGAGACTAAAGGATGCGCTGGATTCAAAACTACGACCAGAACAGGCTAGCTTGATTCAGGAAGTACAAATCATGTGCGAACAAAATTGCAACGCTTCGCATCATCATAGAACAGAATATAGAATGTTAGACAACCCTCTACCTCAACTTCATCGACTGTGAGAAGGCCTTTGACAGCGTCGACGGAGAAGTAATTTGGAAACTGCTTCAACACTACGAAATACCACAAACCTTTATCAATCTCATTCAACAACTATATGAAGACGCCACATGCCAAGTAATTCACAGTGGGAAACTCAGTGATACCTTTGAAGTGAAGACAGGAGTAAAACAAGGCTGTCTACTGTCACCCATGATATTCCTGATTGTAGTGGACTGGATCATGCAACAAACAGTGAGGAGCGAGAAAAGGGGGATACGCTGGACCTCAGAAAATAAACTAGAAGATTTGGATTTCGCCGATGACTTGTGTCTAATGTCACACAAACTTGAAGACGAAAACTAACAAGTAGACAGAAGAGGCAAGGCGTGGCAGGAAAGACAGGACTTCAAGTGAATATAGAGAAGATAGAGGTGATGAAACTATCCAACCAACACCACCACCAACAACAACAAGCTCCAATCACCATCAATGGGAGAAACTTAAAGGAAGTAGCCTCCTTCACCTATCTAAGCAGCACTGTCTCAACTACTGGAAGCGGCACAGGCGCACACGAGGATGTCAAAGTCAGCCAGGATCGGAAATACAGCAAGACAAACATTGCTGCATTAGCCTGAAACCAGTGTGGAGATCTCCTCCACTGCACTCAGCATGTACCACAATATCAGGAATTTCAATACCAATTCAGTCAAGTAAGTCAGTGCTTCTATGTGATGGTTGAGAGTTGGTGTGTCACGAAAGGGATTTCCAACAAATTACAGACATTCATCAACAACTGCCTACACTGTGTCGATACTGAATATCAGATGGCCAGAATAATGGGGATAAGCAAGGGGGAACTCTGACTGGCTGGCTGGCCGGCTGGTGACGAACCAACGAAGCAAGAAGCTATCACCCAACAAATAGGCACTGGAAGGAAGTGGAGATGGAATGGATTTGGGATGCAGTGAGAAGGCCGACTGGGGATATCACGCATCAGGTCAGTCACTCGAGTGGAACCCAGATGGGAAGCGACGAGTTGGGTGTCTGAGGCGAGGGTGACATGTGGGAGATGGTGTGAGGAGGAAGTGAGAGATTGTGGGCAGTCGTGGTGATAGGTTGAAACGATTGCAGAGAAGAGAGTGTAATGGCGACGTGCTAGTGAAACCTTATGTTCCACTAGGAACCCAAGGGACAAATAATGATAATAATAATAATAACATATATAAAGATTATAAAGAAAGAATTACAAGATAGTCACAATGAAATCAGTCAAGTCACTTGAAACACAATTCAACTGAACAATATGAGATGAGACTTTTATTTTTCTAATGTCCATTAGATATTTGTTTACAAATAGTAGTGTGTCCAGAGCCTGTAATAAAACTTTGTCAACAAGTTAATGGCTGAAATCACTAAAAATGTTACTTAAAAAATTTATAATCTCTGAAAATCATGAATAAAAATGTAAATTGGTTTCTTTCATGAATAATGGTCATGTTTTTTATAGGCTGAATGAAAATAAAAACGTAGATTTGTACTACAACTTTTAGTCATAATCTCAGTTTTTAGGATAAAAAATATGGTGTAACGTTAAAGTAACTTTGCAAGTGAACAATGACTATTTGTTAATAACAATGTCATCTGAATTTAATAAGATATTTATACATAATTTTTGTTAGCATAACATCATTAGTTATCCAATAGTCAATAGCTGGATGCTTTGATTCAGTTTTTCACTAACGAAAAGATCTGTAGAAGTTTCATGTACTGAATTCACTGATACTTCAGAAAGTATACCCAATAGATCCCATTAAATATTCCAAAGACAATAGGGTATATAATTGCGCATATACGATCCAACAAGAATGATTTATCGCTAACTGACATTTCGTTTGAAATTTTCTGACTAATATTTAAGTTAGTCTGTTTTTTGCATCGACTTAATGAGGATACTGAATCAGATTGATGAAGACTACGTTTTCTGAAACATTTACTTCAGAGGGATTCGTTAATACTTGTAGACACTCATTCTCTTTATCGGTCATATCTAAAACGGTTTGATTATCACTTGAGGATAAATTATATGCTTTATTTTTCTGTTTTTCTAAAAATTCCAACAATGCAGTAGATGTAGTTAAAATCAGGTATCCTTTACCGATGGTATTTAATACATTGAAATTGACGGATTTTATTCTCCTTCTAGCCAAAGAGTTAGCTATAGCAAATTCAAGTAATGAGCTGACAACAAATGCTAGACATACAAATAACCAAATATCAATACCTTTAGTGTAAGAAACACGTGGTACTTGTGTTAGTATAGCTGCACTTTGTGTAATTAAAGCTAGAACACACAATAATCCAATAGATATACGTGCTGGTACAGCTTCATAGTCAACAAAAAATGATAACCATGCAATAACAACTAACAAAAGTGATGGTAAATAAGCATAAATAAGATAGAAACCAAAACGTCGTTTCAAGTAGAATACAGCCTCTAAACAAGAAAATTGTCCAGTAGTTGAATACTCCACATTGCAATAATTTGCTTCATATGATAATAAATCGAATTCATTTATTTCTAATCCAGAACGAATTTGTACAGCCATAGATGTTGATTGATTAGTTGTAGGCAATAAACCGAATTGATCATATCCTCCTATATTCCACCAACGAAATTCTAAGTCATCTTTTGAATAACCATAACTTCCAATATTCATAGTACACTGTTGTGTATCAAATGGAAATGTATGCAAAATCATATGACAAGATAACTTCATGGAAATTTTTTGACTGAATGTTAGTAAACCATTTGAATCAAGCCAAATTAAGTAATTTGGTGTAGTCATATCGTGTAGAAATCCATGTTTAGCATTTCTGAAAAATAGATCTGGTATCCAAATTAAATGTTTTGCATATGATATCGGTAGGTAAGTGAAATTATATCCACTAGGAATTTTCAATCGTGTATCTAACCATCGTTGACGTAACATAAAGTCTACGGTGAAATCCATATTCACTACGCTTATTGAACTGAAACTATGAATAAACGTATTGACTTCTACAATAAGTGGTCCTGTATACGATACTGGATTAGTTGTAGTGTCTGAATCATTGAGTGATAGTTTATTCCTAGGTCGTTCAGTGCGAACATACGTAGATAGTAATTTCTGTATTTCACCTTCTAAAGTGTTCTCATTCTTCTGTATATCTTTATCTAAAACAGAGATTACCTTTGAAAACTGACTATATAAGCTTTCAGTGTAAATCTGAGTGAACAAGAATTTACTCACAAGAATAAGTGTAAACAGTTTATTCAGTGTAGTCATGAGTTTCAGGTTATTTTCAGAAGAAAAGTAAACCAATAATTGTAAATTTTCCTCTCTGTATTACACACTGAAAGAAAAACATTATAAAAATTAGGAACTGAAAGGAGATGAAATAGAAACGTCAATGTAAAAAATAACGTGGTACTCATCAGCATCCATTATTTGTTTGAAATAATTAAAGAACTAGTAATCAAGTATTGATCTTGGTGACTAGGAGTGGGATCTAAGACACGCGTTTCGTCCTGCTTGGGACTCATCAGCCGGATGCACCTTCACCTCAGTGACTCGTACCCGTCGCTTCAAATGCCAATACATAACAATATATGATATTATTGCAAGACATTTCGGAGGCAACTTATCAACAAAAATGAAGGTGATCATAAAGGCTTTGATATTTCATTATTATATCATCACTCGTCATGTTTTGATTTCAAAGATGACAGAATTCTTGAAACCTCTGAAACGGTTACTATTTCATTCTTAGTGTATTTATCAGGTATTTATTCAGGCCTCCATGGCCTAGTGGATAGCGCCTTGGCGTTTGAAGTGATGGTTACGAGGCTGGAGTCTTGGTGGGAGCAACGTCACTCACTGGGATGCAGGTAAGTCCAGCTGATGAGTCCTAAGTAGGGTGAAATGTGCTTTCTGGATTCCACTGCTAGCCACAAAGAAGTAAATTACCATGTTTAACATTCAGACAATATTGAGGCGCCCGTATAGGATCCCACTTGTCAACAGAGGTTGAACAATTCGATCCAATAAAATAACGGAGAATTACAAGCATATCGATAAGTAGTAATAAACAAATACTCACTTATCAACCACTTTGTTCGCTTGAGTTGATTATCTTGTATAATAATGAGTCCCTTCTTAACCTATTGTTTCACTGCACATAAATGTAAGCACTGTGGTACCTGAGACGTTTCTTATGACTTTTAGTCTTATCCTTGTCTATCATTGTAAATATAGATCAGCTTCTTGGATATGCTGTGACTAGTTTATTTGACTCTATAACCATTGCACGATATATTGTATTGATTTAAAATAATTCGTTGATCTTTAGGTAAATAAATAATCTGTCAGGATGAGTCTGTATGCTTTTTCAATTATCACCCTTCTTGAGATTCAGGTTTTTCTCTGAATTTCTTTTTAGTTGTACTACAACTCCTGTCCATATTACTCTTTCTTTGTATTAGTATGAGTTTCTCAAAAAACGAAAGTATATACTTGGTGAATGGTAGTGGCTACTTTATTTATCACAAGTCCTTATTTAGGTCCCCTGACTCATTAGTTAGCTTTTGTACTGGGTGATGATTGAAGGTGAGATGAAAATTTGGACCGCCGCTGGATTCGAACCAGCTACCAACGGGTTACCGACCCGGTGCTCTACCAACTCAGATACGAGGTCCGACTTCTCACCAGATTTCTATTTCATTTCAGTCATCAAGGGTTTCGCCTGACTGCCATGTGAATTCGTGAGTTAGATTTGGATTTGGATGCAAATTCCTGACTAGGCAACCAGTGTGAATAGGATCAAGCGGTAGTAACTCAGCACCAATTCACATGGTAGTCGAGCGAAACCCTTAGTGATTGAAGTGAACTAGAAATGTGGTGAGCAGTTGGACGTTGTAGCTGAGTTGGTTGAGCATCGGGCCGATAACCTGGTGATGAGTGGTTGTAATCCGACCGCGATCCAGAATTTCATCTCACCTTCAATCATCACCTAGTATAAATAATAGTCTGCCAAGCTACTGCTATCTCAGATAGTCAAATGATAATTGATTATCTTTTGTAGTTTGAATAATTAGACATTATATTAAGCCTGTTCTAAATGAATTTTGGTGCACTGATCCAGAATCTGCATATCTGTTAAACTGATATGTATTTCTGTGTCTGTCACTTTCATGCCTTAGTTTCTCTTGTTGTTCAAGACTGAGTATTACTTTGTCTATTTCTAACTAATAGTTGAATTGTATCTACTACTCAGTTTTTATTGTAGAAATCATGGGTACCTTCAAGTGTCAGCCTAGGTTACTGAGTCAGTAAAGCGTATCTGCAACCTCTAAGGTACTGGTTCCCTGTTTGTAGTTCGAACCCGTGCTGCATAGCACTGCAGTCAGAAGCTTTACTACTGAGCTATGTCGGTGAAATTGCAAAATGATCTATAGAACCTATGAGCACTCAACAATAGACAATCTGAATTTGTTTACTTTCTAGTGACCAGTCAATGCGTTTTAATGTTTTACAGACCAAAGTCTGAAACTGTATGTTATTAATGGTTAGTGGCTAGCAGTTGAACCCAGGACACGCGTATCGTCCTATTTGGGACTCGTCAGCTAGATATATCTGCCTCTGAGTAAGTGATGTTGTTCCCACTACAACTCGAACTTGGAAGTGATCACTTCAAATATCAGAGTGTTATCTCCTAAACCACCAAGTCACGAGTTCCAACCCTAGTGGAAACAATATCACTCACTGGGTGGCAGGTAAATCTAGCTGAAGACTCACAAACGGGATGAAACACACGTCATGAATTCCACTTTTAGCCACTTTCTATCATTAATATACAATTCAAAAATACAAAGCCGTGGTATCGATGCAGGAGCTCATATACCAATAGAGACCAATCAATTTGGCCCACTCAACCACGAGATAAAGTCTGAAACTGTTAGTGATATACACAGGAGTGAATGCAAACTCTGCAGTTCGAAATGAAGGGGGAAAGGTAGACAAATGTTTTACTTCTAATAAATTTCTCCAAAAAATTTTAATTTTTTTGAGATTTTCGAAGAATAAACTTTCATTTTTCAAGTTTATGTTGTTTTTTTCAAATTGAATCAGAAATTATCCATAGAAGAGGAAGATTTTGACTGTTAACAAAATACACTAGTTTCTCATATAAATCTTTCTTTTCTGTACACATTTACCTTTCTGAACCATCTTAATTCCAGCTAAAACAAGATTGTTTAATTCACTTAGTGTTCAGTAGACAGATTCGCATGCAAGAGTGAACTTAATCAGCAGAAAACCTCTAAAAGTAATTGTATGTTTTTCCTAATGAATTTTTTTGTAAATTAGGATCAAGAGTTGTGATGACGTAACCAAACTAGTAAATCTCGTCATTGTTCAGATATCTAAAATACTGAATATTTTAATTCATGTATCTGACTACAGAAAAATATCTCCCATGAAAATGATTCAAGTGTTTAGTATATTAGATAAGATTTGTGGCTCAGGACAAGAGGAACCAGTGGTTGGAAACTCTAGATAATATGGCTCAGAACCGATGTCAGTGACGCAAATGTATACATACATTATCCTCATCTTATTGAGGCTATACCGAATCTCACCATTTTCTTATTCTTCCTTTCTCTCTCCCTTTGAATACTTTACATTTCTTTTGACTGAATTTTCTTATCTTCATCTTGCGGTTCACTGCCTTTTTACTAAATGTACTGATATGGGGTGTGGCAACTCGGACCATTACGCAGTAATGCCTTGTCGTATGTTGATATCGATGATGATGATGTGGCTCAGGATGAAAATGATTATTATCTGGTATTGTCTGAGCTTTGAGGTACTTTTTGAAGTTTCTATCAAAGGACCGGTTGACTTGGTCAGTATTTTACATTGAACAACCATTAGAAATCAACCAATCTGATTTTTCTGTTCCGAAGTCCTGACCGAACCCTGTCGATCACTTCATACTGTGATCCAGAAACAAGAGACAAATCATATCTGTGTATTTTGCCTGTTTGGTAGTTGGCAAGCGGAGGTGCTTGGCCCAGATCTCATGCTTATTGATACTGGTCAATAAGGTGTATTTTTTAACTTGCATGGAACTGATTTCCCCTAAGAAATCCAAACCCCAATCACCGTGTACTGTAGATGGAGATGTTAACACTTATCTACTCGGGTTGTGACAGGCCTGGAATAGGATTGTATTAGACACACTGATTGGTCACCTGGGAACAGCACTCTGTAAAAAAGAAAAGTCGTTCACATGCATAGATCTGATGAATGCCCTGTTTATCGATACTTGCAGTTCCTCCCTACTATACTGGGTTGAGTTGCTCGACGTCTGTTGGTAGATAGGCTTCTGTGTGGAGGCGTTGATACTACCGAGCACTCATGATGTTATATTCGCCTTAGTGACTACCAGTGGGGCTCAAAACAAGCATTTTGCTCTACGTGGGACTCGTCAGCTGTATGCACCTGAATCCAAGTGGATGATCAAGGCGTCCTCAAAGGAGCTAGTCTGCGAACACAGGTCGGGAAATTTGACCCTGCATGCCAACGGAAAATTACAAGTATCAATTAACAACTGACACCCTTTGCATAAGAGGTGGGTTTTATTCCCTAGTGGTCTAGTGAATAATGCTTCGGCGTTTGAAACAATGGGTAATGGGTTTGATTTTCACGGGGAATAACATCACTTACTGTGGTGCGGGTACATCCGGCTGACGAGTTTAGAATGGGACGAAATGCGCCTCGTGGATCCGTTTCATTGCTAGTCACCAAGATCAGTATAACACCAATACAATACCGTTAGTATTCTCAACCGAATTTACCGGCTTCTTTTGATGCATACGCCTCTTGAACAGATCCTTCATTGTTACATCGATATTCATTTCGATTTTGTTCACGTGCAGATCGCTATCAGTGGGACCTAGTGAGTGTATTTGGTTCTATTTGGGACTCTTCATCTAGATGTAGCTGCATTCCTATACTTGATGGTGTTCCCACTGGATTCGGACCCAGCATCCATTGATTCAAATGTCAGAGTGTTGTCCAGTAGCGCTACTGAGTCATCAAAGCCACCTTTCGTACAATCACTGTCATTTTTTATTAGCTGATACTTGTGATAGCCTATCATTTCTAGTTCAAAAATAACTTAATTTCGTAATTCAGGTATAAATTAAATGACTTTAAATCGGTCGTGGAACTGTTTTGTAAGGATTCAGTCAGTTACTTTGCTTTGTTTGATAAAAAAAGGATAGAAAATGTTACATTAGGTCCCCATAAATAACCTGCTACTCTTAAGTAACTTAACCTTTTTGCTTCTAA